ACACTGAGAACGTGTACTCCTCCAAGTCAGTAAAGTCGCCGTAAGATGCAGCCTCCCTAAACATGTTCCAGTCAGTACTCTCAAAACAGTCTTGAAGAGCAGAGGTGGCTCCTGCTGGCCAGGTTTTCACCTGCTTCAGAACCGGTTTTGATCGCTTGACGAGTGGTCTGTATGCTGGAATTAGCATAACAGAGATGTGGTCTGAGTAGCCAAGGTGGGGGCGGGGCTCTGCCCGATATGTGCCGGGGATATTTGTGTAAACAAAATCCAGTGTGTTTTCCCCTCTCGTTGCAAAGTCCACATACTGATGGAATCTAGGAAGCACTGACTTGAGGTTTGCATGGTTAAAATCTCCAGCAACAATGAACAGTCCATCCAGGTGTTTGATTTGCAGTTCACTGATGTTTGTGTACAGTTCTCCCAACGCTTCCTTAGCATTAGCGCAAGGTGGAATGTACACTCCGACGATAAAAACAGTGGTGAATTCCTGTGGTAAATAAAAAGGTCTGCATCTAACAGTCACAAACTACACCAGCGGTGAGCAATAGCCAGAAGCTAGCACAGAGTTCTTGCACCATTTCGCGTCGATGTAAATACACAATTTCACCTAAAAACAAAAGATTTATGTAAAAGCGGCTCTAAATAAGAGGGTCTTGTGATCATTCTGAAAGTCATCTGGTGTTGCAATATGAAATAAATAAATGTGAGAACATCTAAAGCTGCAACAAAGCACTGACGCATCTATAAAAAACAACGTAACATGCATCACATGACTTTTACATCTAATCCTTCCACATCCATTGCAGGGTGATGGGGTTGCAGCAAAATGACCGAGACTGAAAATGACATGAGAACTGATGAATAGAGCACATTAATTAATGTATATAATTAATTTTAGGAGGACAATGCCGTTTGAGATGGACCATCTTGTTTTTGAGCTGGTTTAATTTGTTGACTGTAGCCTTAGAGAATTTATGTATAAATTAAATATATATATACGTGCCTAAAAACCTTAAACAAATGCAGATTTCTAAACAGGTAGACGGACCTAAAAGTCCTCTGACACATAGATTAAGATAATAAAAACAAGAGATGTATTTAGACAGATAACATGCTGGATAAATCTAAGGCTTGAAACAGAATCCAGAACAGAAGGACAAGTTTTGGCACAAGTGTTGAAGATTTGGATGGTGAGGGAATAATGAGCATGAACAAATCTGAAGGGGCTTAGGTCAGTGACCAGTATTACAACAGAACAAAGACATCCTTGGCAAGAAACTGAGACAAAATCCCACCAGAGCTAAGAGGATCCAACTGCAGACGTTACTTTTTAAATCTTTTTCTGTCACTTTGCTTCTCAGGCCCCTGCCTTCTGAATCAAGTGGGTTTAAAGGATGAGAAAGACGACTCTGCTACGCAAACAGTTACAAACACTTGTTTAACCCGTTTTTCCTGCTTGATTTATGAAAAACTGCTAAAATGATGTGAAGACATTTGTTGATATTTAAAGAGCAAGTCACCCCAAAATCACATTTTTTTTTGCTGATAAACTATATAAAGGAGTGTCTAATCATGCTACAGACACGTGTAGTCAATAATTTGGCAGTTCAGTGCATCTTGGTTAAAATTCAAATATTCTGCCTAAAACTGTCAGTGTTGCGCCGTCGTCAGGGAAAAATTCTGCACTGTATTTGAATTTAAATCTGCCACCGCTATTGGCTAAGAGGTATGCTATGTAGTCATCTGGTATATTATGATGTCATAATGCCATTGTGAGCCTGTGTGTGTGTGTATTTGTTAGCAGCTCCGCCTTCTCGGTCTGCCAAGCAACAGCATTTGTTGCATTTTTCAAACATGAAGTGGGAGTGAAGTAAGTTTATTGTAGGGGGTAACTTGCTCTTTAATTCAATGGAGGAAATTTCAACACATCTTGTTGGCCAACAACAAAACAAACATGATCAAATTAAATGAAGTATATTTTAACTGAATATAATAACAATAAAGGATATGGCAACATTTTCCATGGGTGAGACCATGGTATGGCTGTTTATCCTCCATTGTCCCATTTATTTGACCTTAGTTTAAGCTAGCTGGCAGGTTTCTGATTAAAGTCACCTTTAGTGTTAAAGCTGTGGTTTACATACAAGTTTGTTGATCTACATGATCAAACATCAAACTCATATTTTTGTGGAAAAGGGAACTGATATAGTTACTGGAATCAAAGAGATTCAGAGTGACATATAACAGCCGTACATGCGTGCAGCAAGAGCCAATCAGGCATCAGCACACGCAGCTTCATACAGGATGTCAGACCTTCTGGCTCTACAGTCATTTGATGTGTGAAGGCAGCTTCTGCGTTGACTTCTTCTCTTAGATGACGGTGTGTGCTCTTTGTTCTAGCTGTGTCTTGTGACGGGTCTGCAGTGTGCTGTGTGAGTCTCGAGCTGCGTCACCGCTGACTGTAATGGCTGAACACTGCAGGGTGGAAAAAAAAACCCCACTGCATCCTGCAAATTTTATTTGGAATTTACTTGATGGAAAACCTTTTAGCAACGATTTGATAAAAACATGAAACATCAATATTACATTTTACGGACTCCTAGTGGGGATCAGACAACCTAAGTGTTGCTGTTTTGCCTCCAAATAGTGAAACTAAAGTCTGTTTCCACCATTGATGTGACGAATGATGTGATCCTGTCTCTTCAAAGTGACAACATAATCATCTAAAGGTGGATTTCAATGAAGCACAACGATGTAAACATATGAGGACCTCACTAAGATTTCCTCACTCCTGTTTTAACTAATTATGGCGCAGCAGCAAAGGTTCTGCTGACTGCAATGCAACGCAGGTTTTTATTTTCTTATTCAGGAACTTTTCTAAAAAGGCTGCGCTTAAATGTGCTGTACAAACTATCGCTATGGCAACCAGAACATTCTGCAAAAACGCAACAAAATGGATAAAGGCACAACACAAAACAAAGAGCCAGTTCTCCTTAATTTATATCAAATTCCTGAAAGAAACATGTTGCATTCTCATTGGGAATTCACGGGAACAGGAAATTGGAAAGTTTCCTGTTCCCTCTCCTCACTGCACTCCATCGCTCCTCTTCTGTTTTATCAACCTTATGTAAGAGAAAGGTCACAGCATATCTATTATTAAATGACTCGGTCAGGTATATTGCATTATTGATTCGATCTGTACATCCTCCAAACACATAGGACGACTCGGCTTTTATGAGTTTAGGTAAAGATTAGTCGGCAATTGCCACAGGTTCACGTAATTACAAAGAGTGAGGTTTTCATAAATTTATCAGACAAATCTTCAAACACACACGTCACTGATGCTTTGGTCTTTTACCTGTGGCTCCCTGTGAGCCATTGCTGGAGGAAGAACCAACTATGAATGGCAACGCAACTCCACGTATGCTCTCAGGTTGAACTGCACAAAACAGGCTTTGTGTGCTTGATGGAATTGTGTAACATCTAACTGAGCCACCTGAGCTGTCAGCATATCAGGGCCATAAAAGCAGCACAGAAGCAGAAATGTACTGTGAAAGCACCGCATGGGGCAGAGCAGCAAGAGCTCTGAGACACCCGCCCACCCTTCCTGAATCAGCCGTTTCTGTGGCGACCAGAGTGGAGAAGGGTGGGAGGGAGGTGCTCGGGGAAAGAGAAGAGACAAACATTTCAAAAACCTGGTGGGAGAAACATGGAGGGATTGGATGGGCTGATGGGAGGTGAGGGGAGGGGAGGAGGGAGCTACGCTGGAGGGTGGGTGATGGAGGGATGTGGCAGGGTCAACAGGGAGCTGGGGCTGATTCCTCGACATCGTAGTCAGTGACAGATTGACAGTCAAAGGCAAACAACAGCAGCTTCATGCTGAAGGACAAAATCACTAGGGGGACCACGGTCAGGGCTCAGGGGGTCCACACACAGACACAGTCTCCAGATGAAATCTCTTCCTGCTGGATGGTATTTAAAAACCTTTCAGATCAAACAGGATTCACATTTATCATGAGAGGTTGAAGGATTTCTACCCCAATGCCAGCTTCAAAAGTTAACCCAACAAGTGGTTGGACAGAGGAAAGAACTGTGCTGATTCTCAGTGGTAAACAAAGAGCTGCCATTAAACACAATGATATCCCAGGATGCACTGAGCCACAGGTGGTTCACACTAACATGGAGGAGAAGGTGCAGAGTCAGAGCTCAGATTTGTGTCGTTTTGAGAGAATGGCTTCCATAAACTCAAATCTACATAAAACATGATCAGCATTTGTCGGAGCTCTGATGGTTTTGACCTTGTGCCATTTTACTGTAATGACTCAAACAACAAATCAGGAATATTTCAGTAATTTTGCGCTGCAATCGTGTCACAACCCACAACAAACAAGAACAAATACAGAAGCTCTTTAGCTCAGCTGAGCTGAAAATGTCCCGTTAAGCTCAAGAAAAACAACCAGAGATGTAAAAGCCTGCAGATTTTCCAGACCATTGTCACTAAACTCCTCACAGATTCACTGCGGGCTGCGCAGCCTGCATTCCATCAGATAGTTTAGTCCGCCCTGAACGCAGCAGCATCTGAGATGTTAGTGTTGAGATTTTTTTATCTGCTTCTAAACAAAAACAAAGATTACAGTGGAAGAGCTTGAACCATCCACCCACTCTCTCTCTCTCTCTCTCTCTCTCTCTCTCCCCCCCCTCTCAGGGATGCATGGATTTACGCGTACTGAAGTTACATTATTGATCCTATCACCTGTACGTACTCAATGGTCTACATTATCATTCATGTGGTTAAATATTACATAAACACACCGATATATGTGTGAAAACACCAAATCTGTCACAACAATCTGTTAAAAATCACTCAGCTGTTTTAATTGCATCGATACATTCTGGCTGTAAATGTGATCACAAATATTCATCATTATACCGACAACCATGAAATAAACCACACCACTCGCAGGGAAGCATTGTGTCATGGTGAGGCTGATCACACTCACCTGTTTGTGTTGCTGTTTTCAGGCTCCGGATGAGCGAGAGGTGTGCAGAGACTGGGTCGACTTGCTCACGTTGGTACGTAGGAGAAGACTGACTGGCTCTGCTCTGCGCTGCACAGCTCACTCCTCTTCCCTCCGAGTGTCAGAGACAAACAGCAGCGCTCCCTCCCTGCCTCTAACACGCAGCAGCATGAGAGGGGAAGGCTGGGGACTGCAGACTCTGTGATCAACACAACTCTTTCGATCTCCCTCTCCTGCAGCCGGCGAGTCTTTCTTTAAGTGTGCCTTTGGGCAACGATGGCTGAGGAGATGAGGAGAACAACAGCATGTAGGTGTGGTGGACTCTCTTTTGTCAAGTATTTATGTTGTGCATTTGGGTGTGAGGGAATAGCGTGCACCAACAATAACACTGCGCACAAATGTGTGCAGGTGGCTGTGGAGGTGTGTGTGTGTGTGTGTGTGTGCGTGTGTGTGTGTGAGGAGATTCACTCCCACCTTCTGCTCCCCCTTTTCATAAACGTCGACCCACCCCTCGTCTTGCCAGCCCCACACCAGCCTGTTGAAATGAGTCATCAGCCATCAGCCAATGGCACGGTGGCACACAGATCACAGATTAGAATAACAGGCGTATTTATGCTCTCCCATAAGGAGATGAAGATGAAATGGAGAATTTTCTGGGAAGATTTCACAAATGGTGAAGCCTTGAAGCGCATCTGTTTTATATGATTTACTGTCAAATCAGCTGAGCACTTTGGGTGTTAGTGCCACATCACTAAGAGTTAGGACAGAGAAATAACACGTGTGTATTTTGGGGAAAAGTACTGTATCACTGCATCACTTGTGAGGTGTGACTCACTGTATGTGATTCATTCAATCAACGCTGCAGGCACCATCGAGTAAAGCAGTCTAACCTTGGTATCTGTCCTAGGAAAAGAGAAGGTAAATCACAGAAAAAAGAAAAATATCTACAAGTGTGTTCCGTAATTTTTACCCACACAACCAGCCAAAAAGATCCTGGTTCAGGAAAACTGGAGTTATTGTATCCTGGGAATCAAAGGAACTAAGAAAAAGTCTTTGTTCTGCCGTAGGAGTCCAAATAATCAAACTTTAGGTGATTCAAGGAGGATACCATCAATGTCAAAACATGAAATGAACTTAGTCCCGACAAAAGGCAAGTCAGAGCAATGCTTAGAGGGACATTTTCTAAAAACACTTTTCTAAATAATAAAACATTTTTTAGATAAAAATCAGAAAGACAAAGAAAATTTCTAAAATCTATTCAACAGGACTCAAGGATAGTTGTGGAAACTGAGTCATAGGGAATAAGAGAAGTAACATGATGAGGTGATGATTCAACTTTCACGGATTTGGAGAAAGTTGCTTGTCTGGGCCCTCGCTCAGTGAACCAGCAGCTCAGATTTGGGATTTACCTCCGAGTTCAGGAATGTGACAGTCTATCATTACACACACACACACACACACACACACACACACACACACACACACACACACACACACACACACACACACACACACACACACACACACACACACACACACACACACACACACACACACACACACACTCCAGAACCAATAGAACTTTCCGGCATCGAGGCAGGAGTAAAGTACTGCTCACTGCTGAGTGAAAACAATGAAGCTAATGAGTTTAACTGTTATAACCTGAATAAACTCTCTGGGTGTTAACGTGGGATGACTGGACGATGCTGACTAACTGCTGGTCTCTGCTGCTGCTTCCCTTTCAAGCCAGAATTATTAAAACTGCACAATGTGTTCTCTTCTCTTCCGATGAACGATGGTGATAACATTTCTTTGCAAGCCTCCTTTCTCTGGTAAATGTCTGGATTCGGGACGTCTCACTGTTGCCCTTCCCACCAAACACTGATGTCAACACTCATCACTGCATCTTGTTTAAAGGAACCCCTTAAAAATCTTAGACGTAATGAACACCTTTTAGTGCAAATGTGTTAAGATTTGCCCAAGTCTGACGTTTTATTTCTAATGTGATGAAAAACCTATGCAATGGAATAGCTGCATGTTAAACAGCCCGTGCTTCTTTCTTCTGGAACATTTCTCAGAAAGCATTTAGCCTTCAGATGCTTCTCTGCATTCATACTTTTATGACTTCATGCTTTTAAATATGTGGCTCAGAAGTTATGTCTCACTTTGTTCTTTGAATGACCGTTTGGAGAAGAATTCATATTGTTATAACTGCTGTTTTGTAAACTTTCACACTGCTGCAGACGTCTCAGACATACGAGTGTTTACATAAAGTCCCGTAGTCATTAGCAGTCATAGGTTCAGTGTGTCAAACACTTATGGTCAGATTTCCATAAAATGTGTGCTGGAATAACAGAGTAAGACTGAACGGATGGCAGCGTAAAGGTTCAGATTATTAATCCCCAAACAGGATTTTCTAACAGTGTTTTACAAGAAGTAAAAAGGTTCAATTTAATTACATAAAACATGAAAACGTTCAATGTTTTGAAATAAAGTTATTGATAAGTTAATAATAAATAATGTTTGTCACACACTTTGAACATCATGGTAGAATGAGTTTGTCACCACTCGTGTTTGTCAGCATGGACAGCTGGGATTATTTCAGATTAGTTGTTTTAATACACTCTAAGACTGGTCCTGCCATGACTAATTTGTTTTTTATCTTCCTTCACATCTTTGAATCTATTTTTTTTCCTTTTCCCCCGTTTTGATTACAATTTTAACATATTTTTAAGTTTTTTGTTGTTGTGAAGCACCTCAAGATTTTTATCTTGAGAAGCATTTAAAATTTTTTTTTCTTCCAATTAGTTTATCAATCTGCTCAGGGTTAATCTCTGTGTCTCCAAACTGAGGTTGTTTAAAGAACTTTTTATGACAGGAAATACTTTAATTGTTCTTATCGTTTTCTAATAAACTTACAGAAATAAATAATCTGAGCTTTATTAAAAAACTGCACTGAAACAAAAACTACTTGTTTTACTTTTAATTGTAAAAAATGCTTTAGATTTAATTGGCATATTTTATTTAACCTAATGAGCCAATTACCTCCTGATTTGTTGTATGAAGCATTATCATTAGATAAATAATATTGAATGAATATTTTTCGGTTTTTAAACCACCTTATTGACAAGAAGTCTCCGGAGGAAGACACATCCCTTTGTTTCAGATAATTAAAGATAAACGAATAAACAAACAAATTAATGATCCAAAGAATGAACAAATGAACAAACAAAGGAAAGAACGAAAGAGTAAACAAACAGACGAATGAATGAGCAAACAAACAAACTAATTAACAAATAAATGTAAAAATCAACCAACCAATGTTCCTGTCATGATGGCTGAATAAACAGGACCAGAATGACCTGAAGCCTTGGACTGCAGGAAGCTGTGTGACAAATGATAAATGAACAAGGATGAACTGGATCAGCAGGTAGATCATTGGATTAAGAGGTGGCACATAGGAACCTTTGGAGGACTACAGGTTTGTAATTGCAACAAACCTTGGTAAAACCTTTGTTTTTCTATGGAATCAAAAGTTTATGGTTTAGGGAAAAATCTTTTATTCTGAGCATCAGAAAATGTGACTGAAACTGTTTCCTTATTGCAGAAAAACACTGGAGTTGATTCAGAGCGAGGTAGAAAATGTTAGCCTTGCGCTTCGATGCAAAATGGAAGAGGTCTGTGCTCCGCCTTTCATAACACAAGACCTTGTAAAAGCAGCTGTATCCAACTGATAGTGATAGATGGCGTGACAACCGCATAAAAACTCAGCTTGACATTTACATCGCAGGCTTGAAAATATCAGCTGAGATGTGAAGACATTAGTCATCCCTCCATATCGCCCAATATTAATGGAGCATTGTTCCTCTCATCTTTGGCATACAAAAAACTTTTGTCAAGTAAATGACTTACAAAAATGTCACACAACCACAAATGCCCAACGATTTTATTTGGGAGCAGAAAAAATAAAAAGAGGAATGTGTTTTGAAGGAGATCAGCGTGACCCTGTTCATCAAAGCAAGCTGCTTTGGCCTTTGTTAGGCCCTCTTATTCACAGTCACGTGATCATCATGAACAATTGTGTGCCCGAAATGGCACAATCGTATCAGTTCACTCGGCTATTTATTCCGCCTTCATTACATCGTTCTACGGCTCTCTCAGCATTATTTTTGCTATGCTTCTGAGGGAGAAACTTTGAAAGATCCTCCCTGATCATCGCCGTGTTTCTAACGGAGATCATGACACGAAAAGGTGAGAGACAAGAAATCTATACAATAACAAAACCTGATCCACAAGTGACTTGTATCTGTCAAGAAGCTCCTACCACATGTGGGACTTTTGTTTCTCCCACTTCGTGTGTTTGTCATCTTTCAATCACAGTGATCTTTTCTGGTTCCCCTGAGAACCAACTCTCCTTCCATGATGCAGGAAGTGGAGCTCCATTCAGTCGCGCTGACTCAGGAGCTCTGGGGGAGTGTGACGGACGGCGGTTTTATCTCTTCCATCTGTTATCAGAGATGACTTAGGTGTAAGTTGCCGACCCAAAAACTAAAAAAAAAAGGTGAGAGTTTGTCATCGTAGGTGTCTGTTACAGATGTTACTGTTTTTTTTAGTTTGGCCCGATTGGCTGAATCTGCTGTGATTCAGCACGCTGATGGACATTTTTCACATCGTAATGACCTGTTGTTTTGACTGAGATGTTTGAAAGAGGTCAATAAAGAGGGAGGATAATGAGAATGACAGTGACGCGTCGCCTCAATTAGACTCCGTGTCATCCCGCTTCCTGTTTGATTTGATCACACAAGTCGCACAGCCTGATAAGCAGGAGTCTAATCCGTCTTTGTCTCTGAGACAAAGAGGCCTGACAGCGGGACTTTCTCCAGAGGAGAAGCAAAGTAAAGATGAATAATCTAAAAAACTAAACTGGAACAAAAATATAAGCTCCCTCTTCATTTCACACCCACCTGTTTGAGTGTGCAATACAATACTTTTATTTAATAGTTAAAATAATCAATGTTTTTATTCATCACCAGACCTAAATTATTATTATTTTTTACTAACTTATTTATGTTGTGATTTCACTCTGTGTTGCATGTTGATTTCCCCTGGCTCAGGAGGTAAAATTAGAATCTCAGAAGCTCTTATTGTTCAAATGTTGAATTCACACCCTCACACACTCCTGATTGTACAGATATGTGTTACTAAAGATGTTTGAGTGTACGTGTGAAACGTTTCCATAAAAGTGATCAGTTCATGCATACACTGTTCCATACCTTGATGAAACATGGTCTGCAACACACAAATCTGTAAAACTACAAATTACAAAAAACAGACTGCAAATTCAAAGAGTGCATTTTACAATCTCTGAATGCAAATTTACACGTTTTTTATTTTTTAAATGTATTCATTCATACATTAATTTTTTT